ATTTCAGTCCCCCATAGACCACTGCCTGGATGATTCTTAATCTGCCTGATGAAACCTGGGCCCCAGGAGGTTTTAGCAGGATGGTAAAGAAAATTAAAAAAAAAGATTCACAAACACATTCATCTGATTCTTGACTGTTCTACATAGAAGGAGTTTCTTTTCAACTGGATTTTCACTTGCATCCAGCCTGTCCATCATCCAGGGAAGGGCTTTAGAAGCCAAACAGGATTTTATTTTTGATCCTGGAGGTAATAGAGAACCACTGGAATTGATAGGATGGGGGAAAAGGGGTTAACATGGGCAGACCTACACTTTAGGAAAAACCTCTTGGCAGCTGCCTGGAGGATGGACTAGACTGGGGAGAGACCCGAGTCAGGCAGACCCATCAGCAAGCTATCGCAGTAATCCAATTGTGAGGTGATTGAGGTCCTGCACCAGAGTGCTGACAAGTGTCAGAGGAGAGAAGGGGGCACATCTGTGATGTTGCAAAGAGAGAATAGACAAGCCTTGGTCACCCATTGGATACAGGTATGAGAGAGAGTGAAGAATTGAGGATGATGTGTCCTCTATCTCTGGGTTTTTATGGATCTAAGTGTCTCAGAGGACTAGAATTACAGCCTGATTTTCTCAGTGTCCCAAAGAGCCCAGGCCACACTGACTTGGCATGCCTCTGTTTGCTCCAGTATGGAGGAATAAGAAGTAAATGAAGACAAATCCCTCTGTCTTGGAACTGAAGCAAAGGACCTCTTTTCCAGTAAAAACATGAGCTGACATCAGCAAACCCCAAGAAGATGCACAAAGCTTCCAAGACAAGCCAATGTAAATTTAATTCAATTCCTCAAACAACAGGAAGACACTGTGCCTTGGGAACACAAGGATAAACAATAGCATGGTCCCTGGCATCAGGTAGCTTGTATTCTAGGAGGAAGGGAGGGAATACTCTGCATACAACAGATCATTATAATATAAGATAGAATGAGGGATACTCTATATCCACAGATCTTTGTAATACAAGGTAGAGTGTGATGGGAGCAAAGGAAATAGCCAGGAAAAGAATGGTAGGCATAAGGTGTTTCCAAGATAGGTCAGTGTGTGAATCTGAACTTGGGAAACGGGGTAATTGGAAAGATGGTAGTGCTAGATGGTGCAGTGGATAGAGAGCCCAGCCTGGAGTCAAGAACATCTGAGTTCAAATCCAGCCTCAGACATTTACTAGCTGTGTGAACCTGGGCAAGTCACTTAGCCCTGCTTGCCTCAGTTTCCTCATCTGTAAAATGAGCTGGAGAAGGAAATGGCAAACCACTCCAGTATCTCTGCCAAGAAAACCCAAAAGGGGTCTGAAAAAAATGACTAAACAACAAGCCTTATCAGACATAAGAAAAGTTAAAAAAAGGGGCAGATGTTGTGAGAAAGATAGTGAGTGCTGTTGAATTGGGAGATCAAGGTGGACATGCCTGGCAGACAACTAGAGATTCAGAACTAGAGCACAAAAGAGAGATGACGGCTGGATCTGTAGATTTGGGTGTCATGTCTACAGCTGATAGTTAAACTCATGGGAACTGATGGGTTCACCAAGAGAATGGAAGAGGCAGAGCCAAGCGAAAGGGGTTAGGACATCTCCCAGCTCCAAGCATTTTTATTAATTGTCCCCTATTCCTAAAATTCTCTCCTTCCTCATCTTCCTCATCACAGCCTCTTAGTTTTCCTGGCTTCCTTTGTCTTAGATAAAGCCCCACCTTCTGCAAGAAGCCTTTCCCAGCCCTCGTTCATCTAAGAGCCTTCCTCTGAGCCTATTGCCCAATTTAGCTTGTATGTTTTACTGGTACGTAGCACTTTGCATGTTATCTGCCCCTTAGCCTGTAAATGCCTTGACAGCTGGGACTGGTTTGTTTTGTTTTGTTGGGGGCTTTCTTTGTGTTCCCAATGCATAGCAGAGTCACAAATAGTTGGATACAAGTGAAAAATGACTCCTCAACAATGACTCTTTTATATACTTATATGTTTTATGTTAATAATCATTTATATGTGTGTCAGCTCCCTGATTGTAAACTCTGTGAGGTCGGAAAAGACATACCCAAGCTTTCTATCTCCAGCACTTAGCACAGTGTTTTGCACATAGTAGGTGCTTAGTAAGTGTTGGTTGAACATTTTAAAGTTTAAATTTTTTATTATGAAATTAATCAACAAATATGAACATTTCAGGATCCAAAGAAAAATTTTGAAAGAGGGTTATTATATCAAACTGTGAACTTCCATCATATTTTAAGTGTATTATAAATATTAACACTATAGTAACAAAATTTCCCAATTTGTGTTTCCTTCTGCACTTCTTGGTGTTTTCTTCTGTGTTCTTTACAAGTGTTTATTTATGGTAAAGTAGATAGAGTAAGGGAGTTTGGGGTTATGTTCCATAATCTGGCACATAGTAGCCACTCGGTAAGCATTGCTTGACTGCGTGAATTCAATTCAACGTAAAACAGGCATTATGATAGGCAATGGGGACGCACAAATTAAAACACACACACACACACACAGAGCCTTCAGGGAGCTTACATTCTGGTGGTACTATATTTCAGGGAAAAGGAAATAACTCAGTAAGTACTCACTGATTTTGAGAATAAGGTCCAATGCACTTGATTCTCCAAGCTTAGTCCAAAGGAGGCCTTCACAGATATGTTCTGGGGTATGGTGTGAGCAGAGGGACAAAAGGTAACAAATATATGATGAGGGAGAAGGAGAGCGATGGGAGGAGGGAAGGGGGCTCTGACTTAATTGCCTGCTCTCTGCTATTGCCAAACTATAGAACATAACCCCAAACCTCTGGGTTCCTCTTCCCTAATGCCCACTTTGGGAGAAGGCCATGGGAGGGGTTGTTGTCCTGGGAAGCTTCTTTTATCTAGAAAATGAGAGTGGTGGGAAAATAATTGAGATCAAAATAGAAAACAGGGGAAAAAACAGAGCAGGCTCAAGTATTTGGGGAAGGGAGAATTAAATTGAAGAGATGTTTGCAAATAAATAGTAACTAGCATTTATGTAATGCCTTAAGTTTTGCAAAACAACTTATATTTGAGCCTCTTGACATCCAATAGGTAGATACTATCCTCATTTTACAGATAAGGAACCTGGGGCTCAGGTTAAGTGACTTGCCCAGGATCACACTACTAAGTTAAATTCAGTTCTTCTTGACTTGAATAGGCTTTAAACCTATCAATGTAGCCCCATGTCCCACTGCCTCCCAGACTTAAGAAAGTCTTGAGAATGGAGAATGACATTAGAAAGGAAACTGTTTAGTCAGATGCTAAAGTAAGTTAGGGGATTAACATTGGTGTAAAAAATTATTTCAGCCCCAATGGATAGTAGCGATGTCATTTTACAACTATCACTATCAAAAATTACTGATTTGTTACTGACAGGCATGTGCCAGATGTTGTACGAAGAGCCCCTGTTTTCAGGGAGCTTATAGGCCACCACTAACAACATTGACAAAGACTAACATGGAAAGGATATGACAGACAGCAAATTCAACCAACACATTTTCAGACTCAGAGCGTTAAATTATTTTACTTGACTTATCTGTTATAATGGAGAGTGACTTCCTGGATAATGATGGAGATTTTTAAAAATAATAGCCAATAGCTCACATTTATATAGAGCTAACTATGTATTGGGCGCTATGCTAAGCGCTTTATGATTATAATTTAATTTGATCTTCACAAGAATCCTAGGAGGTAGTTGCAATTATTATTCCCATCTTACAGATAAGGAAACTGGGAAAAACAGAAGTTAAGTGACTTACCCAAGGTCACACAGGTTAATTACTAAACATCTGAGGCTAGATATGAACTCAGGCTTTCTTGGCTTCAGGCCCAGCACTCTCGCTGCGTGCCATCAACAAACACTTATAAAGAACACAGAAGAAAACATCAAGAACTACAGAATGAAACACAAATTGGGAAATTTTGTTACTGTGGTGTTAATATAATATACTTAAAAAAATCAAAATATGATGGAAGTTCAGTTTCATATAACAACTCTTTTTAAAAAATTATTCTTTGTATTCTGAAATGTTCATACTTGTTAATTAATTTCATAATAAAAAATTTAAGCTTTAAAATATTCAACCAACAATTAGTAAGCACCTAGTATGTGCAGAACACTGTGCTAGATGCTAAACCTAAAAAGTTTGGGTATGTCTTCTCTGACTTCATATAGCTTACGGTCAGGGAGCTGACACATATGCAAATGACTATTAGCATAAAATAATTAAGTATATAAAACAGTCACTGTTGTTGAGGCGTTTTTCACTTGTATCCAACTCTTCGTGACTCCATTTGGGGTTTTCTTGGCAAGGATATTGGAGTAGTTTGCCATTTCGTTCTCCAGTTCATTTTACAGATGAGAAAACTGAAGTAACAGGGTTAAGTGCCTTGCCCAGGGTCAGACAGCTAGTAAGTGTCTGAGCCCAGATTTGACCTCAAGAAGGTGAGTCTTCCTGACTCCAGGCCCAGCACTCTATCTATTGTACCACTTAGCTGCCCCTATAATAGGCTAGGTGACGAAGGCATGTAATCAGGCTACGGGAAAAAAATAAAACACTAAACCATAACATGATGAAACATTAAAGTGTTTCTTTCACATTCTAGGTCAAGCTTAGTTGTATTTTCAGGGCAAGGAGCATAAGTAAAACTTATTGCTAGGGTTTCTCATAAGGAGCCAGTATACACAGCAAATACTATGAATGCTTCAGAAATTTGTCCCACTCAGCTCACGATGTTTAGACAATGTTTCCGCTCACCAGTATCATGGTGGGCCAAACACTAAAACACAGGCTCGTGTGGTTCCCAGAAAGAATGACTTGACCTGAGTGTTCAGTGAGCCCCCTGTGTCCGGGATTCCCGGTGGTGCTATTCCTGGTGGAGCTAGCCGAGCATCTGGTCACCCTATTCCAGGGGATGGTGAGTTGGTAATCAAATCAGCTGGCTACACATTTCATTTCATAGGGCTCATTCCTCATGTGAGGATTCCGCATCAGAACTGCAGCAAGTGATTACTGTGGAGACCAGAGCCCCGTCTGAATCCTGCCAAGGTTCCTTCACAAGCCTGAGGCCAGCCAGGTAACAGAGCGGGGATAATATTGCTCACCTCATGAAGAAGAAGAAAGCAGCATGAGAAGCAAAGGGTGGTAGGGAAGGGTGAAGGGTTAGAATTCTACCTGTGACTGATTTTATCTTGGCCCAAATGTACCAAACCTCTGAAAAGTCTATGATGAATTTCCAGAGTAGAAAGGGATTTCTTCAGGGTAACTGCTTAGCCTGGGAAGCATTTGTAGTAAGAGACTTGATTAGAGCAGAGCTCATTCCACTGCTAGCAATAACAATCAGACTTACTATAGTTTAGTTGGCCAACGGGTAAAGAACAATGGAGTGATAAAGGACAAAAACATGGAACAAAATTAACTGGCCAGATAAGAGACGACTAAGCTATCTAAAAGGAAGACATTTCTTTTAGAGGACTGCATGATAAATTTCTTACTTTTTCTTGTGAAGCAATCAGGTTAAGTGACTTGTCCAGGGTCACACAGCTAGTAAGTGTCAAGTGTATGAGACCAGATTTGAACTCAGGTCCTCCTGACTCCAGGGCTAGTGCTCTATCTTCTGCACCACCTAGATGGCCCCATGATATATTTCATGAAGCCATACTACAAGACAAATAACTTTGCAAAGACCATCAAGCTAGAAGAATTTGATTCCATTGCCAGTATCTATGTGGTCTCTTATTAATATCAAACTCCCCACCCCCTGCCCCCATGAAAGTAATCTAAATTTATGTCTAAAATCTACTAAGTACTTTGTTGTTCATTATTATTCTTGTAGAATGTATTATACACTTTTTCAAGAAGGGCTTCATGGCATTGGATAGAGAGGTGTCTTTAGAGCCAGGAAGACCTGGGTTCAAGACTTATCTCTGACCCACATTGCCTGTATGATCCTAGGCAAGTCATTTTCCTTCTTAATGCCCCAGACAACTTTCTAAGTCTGTAAATTGCAGCACAGGTGTTCACCTGCATATATAGAGGCAATTTCCTCACCAGGAGCTCCTTATAGCAGTGAAATCAAGGTCCAGTCCCAAAGCCAAATGCTACTTTATAGTGACAGAACATTTTTGTATTATCTCGTTTGATCTTCATGGCTTCCCAACAAGATGGGCAGCACATGTATTAGCCCCATTTTAGAGATGAGGAAACTGAGACCCACGAGGTTAAGTGATTTACCTATAGTCACACAGGTAGTAAGTGCCAGAAGTAGGATTTGAAATGACAGAAGCATGATTCAAACCTAGACCTTCCGGCTTCAAATCCTGTGCTCTTTTCACTGTGGCGGTCTCCCAATGTTGTCTAATCCTTGAGTTACTGCTTGAAGCACTGAAAATAAATTTACTGAAAGCTGCAAAACTGATGAGGCCAGACTCCTCTTCATTAATCAGTTCTCAGTAATACCAAGCTGACCTCCCTTTTTCTGCACTACAAATATTCTCTTTTTTTCCCCTACAAAAGTCTGACTTTAAAGACCTTAGGCAAAAATTTTAGAAGGTTCTGGGGTATTATTCAGATTTCGGGCAAATCTCTTTTTTTCCTTTCACCTCAAATGTTCTCTCTCCACCCATGCTCCTCCACCTGAAAAACAGCATTCATATTACCTTAAATACTCATGAGATGCTAGCACTCTAGGGAATTACAGTTGTTCCTTCCTTATTGTAAGGTTTAGAGGTGCCATGCCCTCACGATCTGGAAAATCTGAGTAAAATGTTTTGGTCTTCCCTTCATATCAGAGAAGAAGTGTGAATCTTTTCTTTTTCTTTTATGGGGTGTTTATTGTACCCCATTGTAAAATTTGGGTTGGTATTATACAATACTATTTTATACATTTCTGAGTTTCTAAACTTTTTCTGCGTCATCTGCTGGCCTTCACATGTTGTCTGTGGCTTCTGCAAAACTCCCCCCAAATTCCCATTTAATTTTTTGTATCGACCTGGAACATATCAAAACCCCAATTGGGAAAGTAGTGCTCTGGAAAGGATAACTGTACTTGAAAGATTTTGCATGAAAAATCAGGCCCAGACTTATAGATCAGGCGTGGTATTCTTGGGAAACTTGAGACTATTAAGTTATCTCCTTCATTCCTTTCTTATTTCCTTCAGTCAATCACTAAGCATTGATTAAGCACCTGTTTTATGCCAAGCACTGTATTGGGCCCTGGAGATAAAAAGAAAGCAAAACAGCCTCTGTCTGCCCTTGAGGGGTTTATGTTCCATTTTGTACTTATATACAGCTCTTGTTCAGTCATTTCAGTAGTATCTGGCCCTTCATGACTCCATTTAGGGTTTTCGTGGCAAAAATACTGGAGTGGTTTACTATTTCCTTCTGCAGCTCATTTTACAGATGAGGAAACTAAGGCAAACAGAGTTAAGTGATTTGCTCAGGGTCACCCAGCTAGTAAATGTCTGAGGCTGGATTTGAACTCAGGTCTTCCTGACTCCTGGCCCAGCTGTCTCTATATCTACAACTAAGTAAATACAAAATATGTTTATAGTGAATACAAAGTAATTAGGGGAGAAAGGGAGTCAAACTGAGGGAAATAATGAAAAAGCCTGGTAGGACGTGAGCTTTGTATATAACGAGGAATTCTAAGCTGTCTGAGTAAGGATCTGGTGCCTTCCAGGCATGGGGAACAGAATGTTATGTGAGGAAGGAAAGGCAAGTTGGTCAATTTAGCTGGAAGGTAGAATGATTAAAGAGGAATAATGTGTAATAAGCCTGGAAAGGCAAGGTGGAGGCAAATTATAAAGGATTTCTAGAAATGCTAGTATTTTATCCTAAAGCTACATAGGGATCCACTGCAGGTTTTTTGAGTAGATGAATAGCTGAATTAGACCTGTACTCCAGAATGTCACTTTGACCAGTGGGTTGAAGTTGGATTGAATGAAGGAGGCCAAGTGAGAGGTTTTACAAAAGTCCAGGCAAGAGGTGCCAAGGGCCTAAATAATGATGGTAGTTACGTAAAAAAAGAGAAGGCAACAAATGAGAGAAATGCTGTTGAGGATGAATTGACAAGCCTTGGTCATCTCTTGAATATGTAGGGTAAGGAAAAATTAATAGGTTGTAAATCTGGGCGACTAGAAGGATGGCAATGTCCTCAATAGTAAGAAGAAAGTTAGGAAGAAGAGTGGTTTGGAAAGGCCCACAAAACCAAGAGTGCTATTTGGGACAAACAACAAGTCATATTTTGGACGTGTTAATTTGAGATGCCTATGGGATGTCTAGTGGGAAATATTCAACAGGAACTGGTGATATGAGACGGAATTCAGGAACGTGCTAATCGAATTTGTGAATGACACAAAGTTAGGGAAAATTCTAACTTACTAGGTGATAGAATGAAAACAGAAAAAATGTCTCAGTAGGCTAGATGGATCTCCCAAATCTAATAAGGAGGAATTTAAAAGAAATAACACAAAATCCTCCAATAGGGTTTAAAAAAATTTGACTCCATATAAACATCAAATTGGAGAAAGATGACTAGATTTGGCAATGTTGGTCTTAAATGTTTTTCCCCCCTACCATTCATTTCTATTATTCTCCAGTTCTCAAGTTTGGAAAAGGCAAAAGAATACATTTCTTTGTGCTTTCCTGGCTTACTTTCCACTCACTTAAATTTATAGTTTTTCAGGTGTGTGGACCAACTGAGCCCCCAACATAAAGACCTCAAACTCAAGAAATCCTGCCCCTTATCGACAGAATTCTTCTAGCCCCATTCTATGTCCCAAGTATCCACCTTCCTGAGATTTCAACTTGTATTCTGCCCTTTATATACCACCTCCACCCACCCAAAGCAGCTAGGATGTTTTCTATATTTGGGTGCCATGAATGGTGTGGTCAAATAGTATGAGATAAAATGGAGGTGATATGAAGAGGTGCACTGTGGATCCAGGAAATCAGGAATAGGTGTGTAGGTTAAGCCGTAGTACTAAGTCCAACACAAAGGAAGTAAATCATTTTAACTGACCAAGGTGTCTACCACTCCTCACCTACCCCACCCACACCACCCCAAAGCACCATCATAATCATGGGATGGTGCAGGTCCCTAATGAAAGTGAACATTCCTGCCACCCAGGAATGGAAATTACATAAGTTGCCAAGCATTGCTTGGTTTCCACTTAGTCATTGGCCTAAGTAAATGATTATTGATATTTGACACATTAGAAGATGTATTATATTACAGCCAGTAAAGTCTGAGGCAACCACATGCAAGGCATTAAGTTCCCTGGCCCACAGTCAGGAATATTAGACAGATCACTGCCCATAAAGCCTAGCTAGGAGATGGGGTATGAGTACAGTTGTAGGAATCTACAGAGACTAACATTTCCCCAGTGTAGGTACTGTGCCTGTTTGAAGGGTGGACAGATGTGCTGTCACCAATCCAATCTGTGGATTCTATATAGGCAAGCTTTTGCTGAATTAGTAAAATTGGTTAACATTCAATGTCTACAAAATCCATAGTCTCTAGGCAACAGCCCATTAGATGTCAAAACTCAGGCTTTTTTGACAATGCATCTGTCTACAGATTTCAGTGTCCTAGAACATAAGTGATAAAAAAGTCAACTATACTACCAAAGAGACCCCAACAAATTTGGGTTTGATTGAACTGCAAGATAGTCTAAAGATGCTCCAGGCTCTTAATGGTCAGTGTTAAAGATGCTAGAATATTATGCTCCATTCTGATGGTATCTCTATAACTCATATGTGATTTGACTGAGAGTAGCCCCTTCTGAAATTGGCTATTCACTAAGTTGGCGAATAGCTGTATTAGTGTGGGCACTAGAGGATACTCAGACCAACTCAGTGTTGAACATGAGAGTTTAAGGATGAGAAGATGATATCAACAGGACAAGCCATTATTCTCTGGTTGAACAAGTCTTGAAATACCAAATTCATAAAGCTTTGAAAATCCAGGAGCATAACCCAATATTCGTACAGGTTAAGCAGGGTCTGGAATGCTATTCTCCATTCATCAAATTGTCTTAGTTGAAAGGTTGAGTACCTTTCGGTAGGCCAATCTGG